AGCATAAGTGGAATATGTGATGCAATTTTAGCATAATAAGACTGAGCCTTAAGGCAAATATGACTACTGTGTTATGGAATCAGGGTGAGATGCTATACAGGGGGCAAAGGTGTCAATGGATCTTGGGAGATACCAGTTGCTCAAAAATTAAAGCCATCTCCTGCTTATGCAGGCTAAAAAGGCCTCCAATAAGGCTCTGTCTTGCCTTCTGGTCTACTCACATTCTGGTCTACTCACATGCCTTCTCTCTCCTCACATTCCCTCTCTCACCCTTGACTCTCCCACGGTTTCTTGTGCCTTCTGAAATGGACAATTTTCACTTTCTCGTCATAGCTCATTCTGCTGTCTCTGCCTACGATACTTTTCCTTTCTATGTCTGCTATGAAACTTCTACCCATGCTTCAAAACCACATGCAAACTCCCCTATTCTTTTAGTTGTTCTATGGGTTTCCACGGGCCCTAAAATATAAGCCCTCAAAACACTTCCTATGTCTGCTACAATTTATCTCAGTAGATTTTTATCTTGATTTGGTGGAACAGATACAGAAACTGAGAAAACACACAAACACAAGATGAATATGATATTGTTCACTACATTAAATTTCTGACACATACAGTATGACAAACATACATTCCAAGGGTCTCCTCAAGACTGACTAAGCTGAGTCTGGGAATCTGCATAGCTGTCATGTTATCCTGGCAACAGCGATAAAGCTGAAGGTCTGATGAAACTGCAGTAAGTTATTCTTCAATAGGCATCTTTTTATTCTGACTGATTTTTTAACCATGTGAAAATGGTTCCTACATGACAAGAATATAATACAGTGCATTACAAGGATTGTTCTAGCTATTTGATAGAGTTCTACTCAGCTATAAACAGGAACTATAGAGGGCCGGGCATGGTGGCGCATACCTGAAATCCCAGGTCCTGGGAGGTTGAGGCAGGAGGATAGCTGTGAGTTTAAAATCAGCCTAGGCTACATTGGGAGTTCATACCAGTCTCAGCTACATAATGAGACCCTGTGTCAAAAAACAACTCCCCAAAAAAGCACTATACATACCCAAAAGCAAAGGTTAATCTTTAAAATATAATGCTACATAAAAGAAGCAAGTCAAAAATACATACACTAAATAATTTCATGAACATGAAGTGCTAGAAGAAGTAAAGACAATCTGTTTAGCAGAAAGGACAGCAGTGGTTCTGGGATTGACTGTGAGAAAGGAGATGACTGGAAAGAGTCACAGGAGGATTTCTTGGGGTGGTGGCATGCACGGTCCCTTGATCACAGTGTGATCACACAGATGCATGTGTATATCAATATTCATGTTTCTTTAAACTTAAAATGTGTGCATTATATTCATATAAATGATACCTCAAGGATACTGATTAGGAAAAAGAACACAGACAAGAGATCTTAAAGGGTCTGAAAGCGAGTGTGTAGTTGTTACCTGATGCATGGTTTAAGCAGGGAACAGAAAATACCAGCAGATACCAGCAGAGGCAGATTGCAGGGCTCAGACAGGGTTAGGAGCACTGGAAGATCCAGTTGGAGTGGCCTGTGGCACGCAGCCATGCTGCAGTGGCGTCCTTTGCCAAGCTGGGGGTTTAGATTTCCATATGTAGATAACACAGAATGAATGGATATTGTTCAATCTGAAAGAGAGACTAGGGAGGCTCTTGTAGCTGGATTGAGCAGGAAAGCTGGGCAGAGTAAGAATTCGGAGGTGTGGCAACACTTCTGCTACTCTCAAGGCAAAAATAATCCTGAAATGATTTCACAAGGAGACTTCATCATATTTCACATTTGTTGTAACGAAACAGCCCGGAAATCCTAAATTCTTCCGTACCCCACTCCCCACAGGCTCAGTTCCTTATCTGCCCCCTGGATTTATAGGCACCTCAGCTCTGCTATCATCTGCAGTAAAGGAGGACCCTACAAAGAGCCTCTGACCGCATCTGCCTAGGGAAGCCCTGAGGACAGCCATGACAGCCAGACCGCACTGTGTGCTAGTGGTCCTGCTGCTGGCAGGGCTTTCCAGGTTTGCAGTAGGAAATTCTAATCCTGGGTTCGTGGCAAGAATCACCAAGAAAGGCCTGGAATATGGTAAGGTGACTGGGTTGGTTCTTATGATGCCCTTTTTGGCCTACCACAGTACTGAGATCATGAAAACAGTCTGTGACAGGCTGTGGTAAAGCCACTATCTGAATTAGGCACTTTGGATGTCACCCCCTGGGCTTCACTATTCCCATCTTGAATACGGGAGGACAAGGATAGGACTAGATCAGCCTTTTTCCTACACTAAAATTACTGGGGTGCACAGGTGTGCTGGCACTTTGGAGGCTAGGGCAGGAGGAACGCCATGAGTTCCAGGCTACTCTGGGCTGGATAGTAAGCTCAAGGCCAGCCTAAACTACACAGTGAGGAGGCCCTGTATCAAAAACTGAAAACACAAACAAACAAATGAAATCAGACAAAAATGCTGGGATATACGTATGTTAGAATACACATTCCAGGAATCCACCCAAGATTGCCTAAGTGGGGGTCTGGGAATCTGCATTGCTGATGTTTTGCCCTGGCAACAGTTGTAGAGCTGAAGGTCTGATCAAACTGCAGTGAGTTAGTCCACAAGAGCTCCTTGTACTCGCACCTTTGCTCCAACTCTGATTGAATAAATAAAAAACTAAGACTGACATTTACCTGACATTTTGGAGTCCTGATCTAATTTACTTCTCAGACTCAAGTCAGAATTAACATTATGATGTTGCTAATGGGGAAACTGAGGTCCAGGTATTTTAAAAGATTGCTTGGGCTTGCATTACTAGTAAGTAGCACATTTTGTTTACTACCATTGTGTACCTGATTGCAAAACCCGACCACCCAGGCTGCCTCCCACCAAATAACTAATTCAAATACTCTTCTATTTCACTCCTCCAGCCCAACAATATGCAGTCACCATCCTGAAGCAGAAGCTGTCCACTGTCAGTTTGCCTGACTTAACAGGAAGTTTTAAAATGGGTTGGTTTGGACGAGTCAGCTATAACTTTTACAAGTAAGGTTGCCTTTCACCATCCCAGAAAACCAAGGAGGAAGGATGGGAACCGAGGCTGAGGGGAGAGGAATCGACATGGACTCAGCAGTAGAGGGAGGGTAATGGCTAGCTCTTATGGGATTGATGAGAGTTCTGTGTTTCATGCATTATCAGGATGAAAGGAGGACACTTAGAAACCATTGCTCAGCCCTAGGTCAGTGCTTTAGGGAGACTTGAGCCTTGGAGAGGATTCTTGGCAGGAACTGACCCTCTGTGGATGTGTAACCACTGCTAAAGACAACTCCCAGAGGAGAACGGAGAAGAAATATCCTGGAATCTCCCTCCTCCCATCAATTACTGTCTCTTTGAATGCTTCCCATTGGCCAATCCTAACTAGAAGCCTTTTGCAAAGCCATCTGGGTAATGTAGTTTGCACAGGTCAGCCCTATTCAATATGGCTCAGAGCAAAGAAAGGCCAGGGAAAAGATCCGAGAATAAATGATCAAATAGAGATTTGTAGCACTTGCCTGGGATGCCTAATTCCAAATAGGGGCACTTGCTACTCAGCTGCAATTGACGGGTGTTGGAAGTAAGAGTGAACAGTCACATTCCCTTTTGATTTTTTAAGGACAAGCCAAAAATCCAACCATTTATTTTCCCATGTTTTTTGTATAAAATTTTCCACATTTTAAAATGAACAAAAGATTAAAATTCTTAAAAGCACAAAACAGAAAGAGAAAAATAAAGCTAGGTACAGTAGTCCATGAGTATAATCCCAAAAGATGGGAGGCTGAGACACTAGGATTGTCATGAGTTTGAGGTCAGTCTGGGCTACAAAGTAAGTTGAAGTGAGACCCTGTCTCAAAAAATAAAATGAAATGAAAAAAGAAAGGAAGATAGAAAGATAGATAGACAGATAGATAGATAGAACTATACACACCATATAGCTCACAGATTACTGCGTAACCCCTGATCTAAATTGTGAGCGTGGTAGTTGTTTATTTCTCTATTGGTTTTAGTATTTAGTGAGGATAGAATCGGGCCTCACACATGTTCAGCCCATGATTTGCCATTGAGCTGCATCCACAGCCTTATGCCCTTGTTTTCTGTTTGAAGCAATGAGAGAGAGAATGAAAGGGCTAGTTGCTTCCTGGAGACCCCAGCTAAGAAGCCAGGACACATGCAAAGCAAGCTCACAAGTTGCTTGAAGCACTGACAGTCAGATCACTAGGGACAGAAGAAGCTAGCTGCAGAAGTGTGGTCAAAGAGAGGAGAAATCTTTGGTCTCAGAGGGTTGGGGAAGGCTCCCCAGAGGATGGAGCAATCTGGAAACATATACAGGGGATGACCAGATGGTCTCTGAGGCTTAGGTTATACAACTGAAAGAGACTCTAAGAGGTTAGAGGGAGCTCTTGGGACCTACTCAGAGACAGACATGACCCTGGCCTTTTTGGGTTTGACAATCTGCCTTCTTTCCCTAGCCTGAAGATCCATCACTTTGAGATTTGGAACTGGAATCTACATCTGCTTCCTAATCAGCACATAACAGTTTCTTTGCCCAATAATGACATATTTTTGGGTGGAAACTGGAAGGTGAAAAAGGCATTCATGTGAGTAGCACTTGGTTAAGATGTTGTTTGCTTTGATCTTTGGGCAGAGCACACCCTCCCTCTGTGGATTCCATTTCAGGAATCTTAAAGTTCTGGCCTATAAAGGACCCAGATCCAGCTATATTTAAGCTTCATTCTCATCATCTGGGAAATGGGACTAACAATAATCTACTTCCAGCACTGTGCCTGGCACATAGCATACCCAAAAATCACTGGCTCCTTTTATTCATGGTAAGTAGAGTCCTAGACAAAGGACACAGCTTGTTAGTGTCTATGTAACTCTGTGTTCTTCTGGTTACTGATCTTGAAGGCAACTGCTTATACAGGATTTTGCATTGCTTTTCTTCTAACCAGTGACCTACAGGGCAACTTTGATCTGACAGTGTACAGCATTTCCATCTCAGTTTCTCTGAATTTTGGGAAGGACCAGTCTGGAAGACCCACTGCCTCTGTGGCCCAGTGCAGCAACTCCATTGGCCGTGTCAGGGTTCACATTTCTGGAAGCTTAAGGTAGGTGACCCCATGTATACTCACTGGAAACACTCACTGCTGTCTCAGCATCAAACCCCTCCAATCCAGCTCATCTAATAGAGCAAAAGTACAAGACTTTAAGACTAATCAAGATCATGGCTCAGCAAACTATGCCTTTGGGGCTGTTTCCCACCTGCTTTTTTCCCCAGACAGCCTCAAGCAAAGCAGTGGGGAAACTGTTATTGGTCTCTGTTGAGTCACAGGCTTAGCTTGGATCAATCATTATGAACTGTGATTGACAGAGCCATGGTCTGTACTCATATTTAGTCATTGGGATAAGGATAGGGTCAGTCACATTGAACCATGGAGCCAGAAAACAGAGAAGTAGGTTGTAAGGAAAAGTAAGGACCCTGGAGAAGTCAAAACCACAGATGTATAAAGATGTACTGTGAATCATCTTCCTGCAGATTGAATGTATCTTCCTGGGTCTCATTGATGGGAAAAAGGGGGAAAGTTCAACTTCATGGGCAGTACAAGTTTGCTTCATAATAAAATATATCCTGACCACCTCACCTCTTTTCTCTAGCTGGATCCTAAACCTCTCCCATGAAGGAATTGAAAACAATATCAAAAGAATATTGCAACAAAAGGTAAACAAAAGGATAAGCAGATTGGTAGCTAATACATGAATCATTAGTATTTACATATTGAATGCTTGGAAAGAGCTTCTCCCTTAAGTATGCAGGTGTCTGAATTTGCTTAACAAAATCTCACATAATTCAAAGGCAAATGTTGATTCCCAAGTTTGTATGAAACTTAACCAAGTGTTATTTCATTATCTAAGTGCAGGTGGTATTAGAAAAATATTGGTAAGAATTGATTTTGGATCCTTCCCTCAACCATAGAAAATCAACTGGGTCCAAGGATTTAACTACCAAAATAAATCTTCAGATATGTAAGGAGGAAACCTAGAATATCCTTCTCACTCCTCCAGCTCACACCATTTTGAAAACAGTGGCATTGGCCTTTGGGATCACTCACCTTTGCAAAGTGCTTGGTCTGTGGAGCTGGGCAGGTGCCTCTTCACTATACCCTCTACATATCTTGGAGCAACTCAGTGAATTCAATGGAGCTCAGTCTCGTCATTTTAAAAGGGAGAAGCTGACACCTACTTTGAAGAGCCTTTGAAAGTACAATTAGATAATCACACTGAGTTCCCATGACTAATTATTGTTGGGGTGTTAGAGTATTCCGGCACAAAAGAGCAGAATATAAAAGTAAAAGCAGCCTTTATTCTAAGTACATGGAGAGGAGCTCACAACCTACAGTGGTCTGGCTTTCTCTGATCTGCATATGGGGTATGGGATATATATAACTTCTCACCGATGAGGTTCTTAGAGTGGGCATTGATGAAGTGCGAGGAGCTGACTGCAATTTTCTTTGTGCACTGGGAAAGGAAAAAAGAAATTGAAATAGAGGAAGGAGGAAGTGACCTGAGGGTAAACATCTCCAATTTGGCCTTCCACTGCCACATGTCCTGTAATTTATTCTAGGGCAAAACTCTTTCATTCTCTTCTTTTGATTGTTAGGAAAAGGGCAAATTCTCTCTCTGACTATTTCCTGCAGGAAGGGGGCACCATACTGGAGTTTAGGAAGGTTGATGGGATGAGAGTTGATGTCCATGTAGAAGCTGGTACCAGGTGTTTCAGCCAGAACAAAAAATTTATCATTGGTGAATGCTCGCATCTTAGATTGGAAAAATAAAAAACACAAGGTGCTATGAGGAGGCAGATCACTATCATAATTAACAACCCAGGAAAAGTAGAAGGGAAAGTGTCCTTGATCCAAATGTGTCATTCCATCAGGGCCATGGTGAGGAAGAATCTGAAAAATAAGCATGGAGTTGGGGGGATGGAGTTCTGAGAGGTAATTATTCCCCCATCTGAAAGGGTAGGAGTTAAAAGTGTAAGTAGGATTTATCCTTGTTTTAGGAGTTGAGCTGGAAAGAATAAGAAGCATGAGAAATATAAGGCCTCATGATTGAATCATGATTGGGAAATTATAGAGTGGGGGTGTGTGGCTGTGTCACTATAAGTGACACGAGATCTTAGACCTACAAGAGTCTCATGTAAACAGCTGAGGGTGGAGAGAACTAAGATAGTTACAGTGAAAAAATTAGCTAACAGAAGGTATGGGATCAGGAACCAAATAGGATAACAAAACATGACTTAGCCAGAAAATTTTGGCTGTGGGGCCTTGGTGAGATGGAGATGGGAGATAAGAGATGAGATGACCACTCAGAATGTTTAATATACAAGGGAGTTAGGGTTAGGAGGGCACCACTTAGCTTGAGTGATGTGGTACCAGGATGGCAGTCCAGGGACCTTGACCACCATTGAAGTTCTGAAGAAGACCAGGTAAAGGCCACTCCCTTTTAGTTGTAGTCCTGTTGAGAGAACTGATAAACAAAGGCTAGACCATTATCTGACTGAATACTCTGAGATGAACTTAATACATCAGCAATCTCCCTGGTTGTGGGAAAGGCTTTTTTCTATCCTGAAAAAGTACAAACAAAGATTTGAATATATTTGAGAGTTTTGTGGTGGGATATGTGTATAATCTACCTGTCAGTCCTGACCAGGTCGTGTCTGTGAAATTGATGAATAGGAAAGGAAGAGGTGGTATGTGTCCCTGAGGAGAGGTTCTACTCTAGAGATGACAGGTGTAAGCTGATGAGACCTCAGAGTGTCTGGGTCAGTCTACATAAAAACAAAGGAATCCTGACAATCGGGGTGTAGGTGGGATGGTAAAGAAAAGTCATTTTAAAGGTCTAGGACTATGAAGTGAGAGGTGGAGGGAGGGATATGAGAGAACATAGTACAAGGGTTTGGGACCATTGGGTGAATTGGGGTAGCAGCATCACTGATTATCCTAAAGTCTTGTATCAGATTATAGGACCCATTAGGCTTGAGTACCAGGAGAATGGGAGTATTGAAGGGTGATGGGTGAGTTTAAAAAAACTCTAGTCTAAAAGATGTTTGATTATAGGTTTAAGTTCCCTTAAATGTTTTGGAGCTATAGGATATGCGGGAATGCAAGGAAATTTTGAAGGATGTCTGAGATGAATTCAAATAGGCATGGCATGGGTAGCACAGGTGGGATTGGAGGTATCCCAAACTATAGGATCAACCAGAGAAGAAGGGAGGGGAGGGGATGGCTTTGTGGTGCACTGTGAGGGTGTCTGGAAGATGAGAGCTATGGGGAGGGAGAAAGTAAAGGAGAAGTTAAACTTTTGAAGAAGATCTCTGCCTAAAAGGGGTGTGGGACATGTTGGAATTACTAGAAAGCTATGGGTAAAGAAGAGTCTAGAACCTGCATGGAATAGGCCCTGTCTGCAGTGGCTATGTAGGTTGGCCATCAGCACCCACTACAGAGCCCGAGGACTTAATATAGTGGCCTGAAAACTCAGGAAGAACATTATATTTGGCCTCTATGCCAACAAGTAGATAGAGTGTTTTACCAGAGACCTCCACTGGGACTTGGGGCTCTGAGAATGATACCTTAATGGAGGTCTGTGGGCCCCGATCCCCATCAGTCTTCAGCAGCAAGTCCGAGTAGATCAGTCAGCGATGAATCCAGTGGTGATGAGATCTCCTGGGAGGGCAAGAAGTTAGAGGATGGCTTACCCACTTTCTGGTGGCTAGGACAGTCGCTCTTCCAATGGCCCTTGAGATTGCAGAAAGGGCATTCTCTTGCCCAGCATCTTTTTTTGTCACCCTTGAAGCATGGTCTGGGAGGTGCTTGGGCAGCTCCACTTTGTCTCAGTTTACCTGTCTTAGAGCTCCCAGTGTCACTGCTAAAAGATCAGATTGTCATTTTTCCTTTTGAGTTTTATCTCTGTTGTTGAAAACATGAAAAGTCACATTAAGAAGGTCTCCCTGTGGGGTTTGAGAGCCAAGTTTAGCCTTTTGTCTTGGGATCTGGCCCACACTGTTCCCTCCACAGTCACAACACATCTGGTTCTCTGTGCTGGCTATTTTGAGGCCCTAACCCTGTCTGACTGCCTATAATATTTTTAACTGACTTAGCTGTCTGTAGCATTTTTTCTCTGAAGAAGTAACCCAAACTGCCATGAAGGAGAATGGGCAATGACAGATCTGAATTCTTCAGGCTGAAGAGAGGTGAAGTTGTTGAACAGCAGTCAGGGATACTCTACAGAGCTTTTAACTAGTGGCCCTCAGTAGATAGCAGGCATTTTTATCTTGGGTAGATGTACAGCTTTAAGTCTAAAGGAGACAAAAGCAAAGAATCAATTAAGTATGCAGGAGTCAAATAATAGAATCAACGGGGTATTTATAAGTATAATTTTAATAATGGCTTCCCATAAGGAGGATAAGGATAAGGTCCAGTGAATTTTAGAAACTGACATGTCATTCATTTGTCATATACCTGTTTAGGTTTTACAATTGTATAAGTACCTCTTGTGCTGTTAGAATGTCTAGTGTCAGGGCTAGGGATTTAGCTCAGCAGCATAAGCACATGCCTTGTAAGTGCATAGTTGTGAGTTTGGTCCCCTGTACAAAAGAAAAGAATGTCTAATGCCATCTGATTTTTGGAGAATGGCCTGTTTTATTAATTTTACCTTTTTACTTAGGAGAGAGATGAGCTGTGGTGTCATTTAAGGCCAGTCGAGTATAGTTAATTATGACCCCAACATGCGTCATAAAACCTTTTTCTGGAAAAGATCTGGTGGATCCCAGTAAAAGGAATCTAAAAAGAATTTGGTATATTTGTTATGATGCCTTGGGGTTTGACACCTTTTAGGCAAGAATAAACTTTAAACAAAGCATGCATACACAAAGTGTAAAGCATATATAATCAAAGCATGAGCAGTAGGGCTGACAGATAAGTTTAGAAACTGCTTTTAGGTTATAGCAATTGTAACTCATTGGCTCTTAGGTACTTTTGTTGATGGACATTATATAAATTTTTGTTTTAAAATTATCATTTGACTGATAACCTCCTGTTGACTTGATTTGAATCACTTGGCTGGAGCACAAGAAAAAGGCAGATGTCTGATCTGAAAGAAAATATTTATCATCATAAACAATCCCAATTTTATATTTGAAGGCATGAATATACCATCAGATCAGCAACAATGAATTGTCTTAGTCATATGAACTTTAGCTGGGGTGTCTCCCATAAGCTATGGAGATTATTGGAGCCTCCAATTAATGAATAAGAGCTGGTTAAAGTTACCAGGTGGCCACTGTCTTATTCATAAGTTGAAGTCCTGTCCAATGTCTCCCCACCCCAGGGGATTTTGTTTAACCAATTTTAGCATCAATTTGACAAGCTGGCAACCTAGGTGAAAGCATATTTTTAAAATCTATAACCCAAATACATCTTGATTAAGTGGTCTAAAAATGCAAAAGGAAAAAATTATTGAGCTCAAATAAAAAGGAACAGCTGTGTATAGAGCAGACAAATGTGCAAACATGGACAATCTGTACAGCACAAACAGACTGGACAAACAGATAACAGATATATAGACTAACAAACATCTTACAAACTCAGACTGTATTCAAATATATTTGGCCAATCTGAACTATAATAAATAGACTAGTATGAACATTTTGTAGATTAATTAATAGAGATCTCTTAAAATAGGAATAGCAGAAAAGGAACCTTATTTATGTTTGCTTTGAGATAGGTCAGAGAGGGAAAAGGAACATTAATATGAACTAGTTCCTTGGGGCCAGCCTGTTCCTCAAGTGAGAATAGGGACTGAGACTGAGTAGGCTGTAGAGTGGGAAGTGTAGAAGGCCACTCAGTAACCAACTGCCCGGCAGGCATCTGTATCTGTGGGCAATTACTGGGTGATCAACTACCATGCATCAGGGAAGCGCAAGATGGCGACTGATTACAATGAGACTCACAACTAGATGGCTGCGGCTGGTCCCATTATGAGGGACCCCAAGATAGCAGTGCATTGTCATGTGGCGTAGGGATGCAAGATGGCAGCTGTCCTCCAAGTGAGCTGCAGCAAGATGGTTGCTGAGAACCACGTGGCCTGCTAGGTTCCTGAAAGGCACAAGACCAAGTACGGTGAGCCAGTGAAGAAAATGTCAACACAGGAGTAGGGGACAACAAGAGCCATCTGATGGAATATACAGTGGACTGAGGGGGTTGAAAATTTTGAGACTAGAGAGAGAAAGTAAAGGAAGGATTAGAGGCCACTGGGGGTAAAGAATGGGGAGAGGATGGCACAGGGGGCACAGAAATCTCTGGCTGAGAAAGCTGTGGGATTTGTCTGGTAGGTACAGGAGAGGAACCGTAAAGACAGGAGACAGGTCATCTAAGAGGTCCGGAGGGAAAGGAGGGAGAGTTCCTGATGGAGCAGAGTGAGCCAGAAGTGTTTGGGCCATTATACAAGAAAGAATGAGAGAAAGACAATCCTCAGAGTGAAAAAAGGCCTAAAAATAAGGAGTTTCTGCTAACTTGTCGCCACTAGAACAAAAGTATAAATAAAATATCTGCTTTTTTGGTCTTTATACCCTTCTTGAGGCCAAGAACACCAAGATTATGAACTAAGCACCCAAGAAGTGTGTTTTTTGCGGGGGGACAGAAAATGGTCCCCATGACCGAATTATAAGTGAGCTGAGAGAACAACTTTGCCTCAGGATGTAAGAGCTTTAACTCTCCCCCAAGGAACAGGGAAGCTGTCCTGGATCACACCTATCAAAAAAAGGTTATCACCTGTTTTGAAAGTGTGACATGAATGTCCCAACACACGTTCTTATCCTGGCCATCACTGAAGAGCATGGGGCAAGGTCCCAGGGAACAAAAAATAACAGTTTTGCCTCTGGCTGTATGGCCTAATGAGTGTGAAAACTGCTATCTCTGTCCAGAAAGGGCAACATGCGATAGTTTTCTGATGCAAGCTTGTGATTTTAGGAATGGAAACAGAAAACCCCAGACAACAGCTCACCTGTGATGAGTGAAGCAGGTCGCTGTTGCATGTGGATTAGCAGCGGCAAGTAAACAGTCCCGGAGGAAATAAAAAGGTGATTCATAGGCCAGGTAGCTCAAACTGGGAGTGACTCCCAGGAGCTAACATACTCTGCCATACGAGTCTCAAGGCACCATAATGTTAGAGTATCCTGGCACAATAAAGGAGCAAAATATAAAAGTAAAAGTAGCCTTTATTGTAAGGATGTGGAAAGGATTCCACAACCAACAGTGGTCTGGCTATCTCTAATCAGAATATGGGGTATGGGATATATATAACCTTTGACCAGGGGTGGTGCTTAGGGTGGGCGTGATGAAGCGTGAGGGGCTGATTGGAAGGTGGAAGTGACCTCAGGGTAAACATCCCCAATTTGACATTCCACCGCCATAATGTGCTGTAATTTATTCTAGGGCAAAACTCTTTCATGGAGTACTCAGCTTTGCTACCATTTCAGAACTATGACTCGTCCTCTTGACTCTTCAATATTGAGCCACAAGTTCAGCAGTTAGATGCTCTGGTTTTAAATCCCAATTTGCCACTTTGATAGCTGTGAAGTCTTAGGGAACTGAACCTCCCTGACTCTTAGGATGCCTGACCATAAATAGAAATAATCATAACATCTACCTTGCTGTGAGGACCCAAAGCTGTGATGCACTTATAGTTAATGTCTAGGACTAACATTTGGGTAAATACTCAACTAAGCTCCCCACTAGTTACTTGTGTGTTGTGGTGATTGCTTTTCATACATAGGAAACGTGGGCCAGAAAAATCGGGATACTACATTTCCAGGGGAATGAGGCTAGTGCCAGGGAGGCTGAGCCACTATTTCACATGTGGTCACTGACTTCAGTTCCCATAGGGCTGTGAGTGCAGAGTCCCAGGTGGCTCTGTAGAAAGAGGACCTCTGGCCAGGGGAGGTGGGGAAGATGGATAAAGCCAGGTCCTGAGAGGACCGACTCCCAAGGCAGCGATGCCCTGGCGTGGTGCTCCAGGGAGGCTGACCTAGGTCCACCAGGCTTTGGCTGCCTTACAGTTTTGCACCAAAACAGTGCTCTCAAAATGAAGATGCTTCCCACAGAGAGTTGATTTTAAGTGATTGGAAGCCTTGGTATTAAAATATGCAAAATGACAGGATGCATAAACACTTCCCTCTGAAGTCTTCTTTCTCTTCTCACATCAAAGACAGGAAGACTCAGTAGGAGACTAATGTATCCTGAATTGTTTTTTCTAGCAAAGAGGGGATTAGCTAACTAGGCAGCAGCATCTAGCCAATCTTCCAGAACAATTTTTTCCCTGCAATCCCTTGTACATTATTCATTTTCCCAGTTGTATCTTGTTTATTCCAAGGGCTTCCAGTTTTTCACTCAAAAGAGTGATATGAAGTTTCTGTATTTTTTCTTAAATGTATGTCCATTTGAAAAGGCCAGCTGGCATAAAGTAAATATTGAATAAGTAACAGAGGGAAAGGTGGGAAAGGCAAAATGATGGGATGGTGTAGGAATTGCTAAAGATGGGAAATGGCCAAGTTAGGGTCTTCTGACATCCCCCGTCTAGAATTCCACAACTAGGTCAGGGACATGGCTCAGCAGCACAAGCACCTGCCTGGCAAGGGCAAGGTCCTGAGTTCAGTTCCCATTATAAAACACGCAGACAGACAGAAACAGACAGAAATAGAGAGAGAGACAGACAGACAGACAGACAGAAGGGTATGGACTGTTTGGAACTCCATTACTTTCCCAGAAACAAGTTAGTGGCCAATGGCCACTGTGATTCCGAGGCTGAGCCCTTTTCTGGCTTTGCGGTGGGCCATCTCACGACTTGGTCAGCACTGTTGAGATTTCAGGATCTGAGCAAGAAGAAGAGCCAAAGGGATTCAGGAATGAGTGGCAAACTTAACGTGGGTGCTGAAGTGGCCAAGTGCTATGTATTTCGGAGCACAGTGACCTCTTCTTTCTTTTCTCCATGTTGCCTGACCCTTCCCGGCACACACTCAGGTACCTCCACAGCTGGGCTGCCAAGGTACCTCCTGGAGGTGGATCTGGGGACACCAGGGCATTGCTGGGGAGAGTGGAGAAAGAAGGACTCACCAGCTTTCTCTCTCCCTCTGGCAGATCTGTGAGATGATCAGGCAGTCCACCACTTCTTACCTGGAGCCCTATCTCAGAACTCTACCAGGTTTGAGCACACCCTCAATTTCCATAGGTGCCAGCAGACTCCCTGACCCTGGGTTATCCTGAAAGCATTGCTCCTGGGGAGCCCTAGGAAAACTCTCCCATCCTACAGAATTGAAACAGGGCATCTTTTGAAGAGTCTGTTTTTGGCAATGGGATGCTCCAGGGGAGACATGTACTAGAAGAACAAGGTAGGGAGAGGATCTCAAGGCCCTGGGAGAAGCATGTGCTGCCTGGGTTCCATCTGCCTTAATGAAACAGAGAGCCCCAAACCCAGTCAGCCCTGCTGGACCCCACAGATCCTCTAATACTCCATGTTACATCCTGCCATGTGATCTTCGCTCCTGCGGTTCCCTCTGCCAGGAGAGCCCAGGCCCGTATTCACCCCTTCCCCAGTCAGCATCTATGCCCTGCTGACTCCAGCCAGGCAAAACCTCCCCAGGAAGCTTTCTTTGACTCCCTGTTGAACCCTTTGACACTGCCCACTGTGGCTGATATTACATGAATGACATCACACTTCTTCCACTGAGCACCACTGTAACTGCACATTTATTTGCTCAAGTATTTATCTGTTTCTCTTTTGGACTCCCAGAGGGCAGGGACTGACTCTTACCCAACGGTTTCTTCAGCCGCCTGTATTATGCCTGGCATATAGAAGGTGCTCAGTAAAATGATGAATGAGGCAATGTGTCTCTCTGGTTAAAGTGGATGGATCAGCACCAGCCCCATTTCCCTGATAGAAAGATTACAGTTTCTGTGAATGACGTTCCCCAGAGATGTACAATACACAACTTGCTCAGCTGTGTTTAGCCATCCTGTTCCTAACCTGCCTCTTTCCTATCTCACAGTCACCGTGATGATTGATGAGACTGCAAGCCTGGATTACAGATTGGTAGGCGCACCCCAGGTGACTTCTGAAGGCCTGGATACTCCCTTCAAGGTAAGGGGTTATAGGGAAAGGACCTTGCTAGGAAATCAGTTCCACTTCCCAGAGGCAGCTCCTCCCCTTCCTTTGCCAGCCCATAAGGGACAGATGTGCTATTAGCCACTGCACACCAAGACTAAGTCAGGAGTCTGTGAAACAACATACTAAATCTGTCTGGAGTCTCCAGAGCCTGAGCTTGACTCCTAGCTCTACCATTTGTGTGCTGGGGAACCTGGAACACTTGTTTAACTTCTCTTAGCTTCTATTCAACTGGAATAGCCAGGAAGGGTGATGCACACCTGTAATCTCAGCAATCAGAAAGCTGAGGCTGGAGGATCACCGTGAGTTCAGGTCAGGCTAGGCTAGGTAGTAAGTCCGGGACAACCTGAATTACATAGAAAACCCTGCCTAAAAAATGAATGAAAAAACAAATTGGCCAGCAGGAATTAGGAGAGATGATTTGCTAAAGCACTTAGCTAGACATAGCACAGAGGGCATATATAAGGACGTGCTTGTTACTATTACTCTACCCTCAAGGTGACTGAATGGACTTCCTAAGACACCATGTCCTGACTCTTAGAACTTGTGAGCATGACCATATGTGGCAAAAAAGGACTTTGCAGAGGTGATAACAGACCTTTTGATGGTGAGGTTATCCTGGCTCCTCCAGCTGCACTCAGTATAATCTAAAGGTTCTTAGAAGAGGGAGACATGTGCAAAACAACAGAAGAACCATGGGGTGACGTGATGAGGGACCGTAAGCCAGGGAATCCACATGGAGGTGGCAAGAGCAGGGGGACAGAGTCTCCCTTAAAGCTTTCAGAAGAAGCACGGGCCTGGAGACAGGAAAGGAAACAAACTTGTGCTGTTGTAAGCTACTAAAATTGTGGTAATTCTTACAGCAGCAATAGGAAAACCCCCTCCCCATTCCCCTGTTCATTCCATACCCCCTGATTGTGGGCCGAGCCCTTGTAAGGTGCTGCCCCTTCAATTTTGCTTATTTTATTTATATCATTAACATATATTTCTTGCTGTGTCACTTCCAAGAGTTTCTAAAAATAATAATAGATCATAATAAACTTAAATTTCCTATTATCTCTATGAGTCAGAAAAATCATTAGCCCCATCCTCAATTCACAGATGAGGAAGTTGAGGCCCAAGGAAGTTAGGGATTTGCCCAAGGTACCAGAGCTAATAAACCTTGGGATTAATTCAGCCACTGGAATCCCAAAGTCCAAGCTCCTCACTCCAGGCTGTGCCTGCCAAATCCTGGGCTATGAGTCCTAGGACCCCTCCAGCCCAGAGGATTGCTGCTCTGAAGGGGTGATTCGAGGCAGCTGTCAGGATCTAGATCGTTAGTGTTGTTGGGTTCGCATTCCAGAGAGGAACCACCCAGCCACCACCTAAAGCATAAGAGGCCTCTGCTGGGCAGGCTTGCACCTCTGCTGGGCACCCCCACTGGCTACACCGAGGCAGGGTGCAGGTATGCAGGGAGAACTGATCAGTCCTCTGTCTCCAGGGTGAATTCTTCAACCCAATCCAACCTGCACCAGCGCCTTTTGGAGCCCCACCCATGATGCTGCCACCACGACATGACCACATGATTTACTTGGCAATCTCTGAATACACATTCAACACAGCCAGCTGGGTTTATCACAAGGCTGGGTACATGAAGGTCATCATCCGAAATGAACATGTGAGTGCTGGGTGAGAAGGAGACCAGGCTTCAGGAGAGGGCTTCAGGTTGAGACCACAGGCTCTCAGTGGGTACCCAGGGAGAAGGACAGAATGTGGAATTTGTATCGTAACAAATGTGAACTGAAATCAAACTGCACTTCAGCTCCCCTATCTATACAGGTGGATCCTAATAGTTTCCATTCACTACTCAGTATTTTTCCTGCTAGCCCTTCCCCTTCTCTTTCACTCCCTCTGTGTCCCAGGACCATTAAAAATGACCCCTTCAGGGATCTTTAGAGGCTCCCTTGGTAATAAGCTGGTGCCCCTGTAAAAGTTTTGCTCTAGAATAAACTATAGCAAAATATGGAAGTCGAAGGTCAAATTAGGGATGTTTTCATTGAGATCACTTCCTCCTTCCCCTATGACTTCCTTTTTCCTTTCCCAGTGGGCACAAAGAAAATTCCAATCCGCTCCTCTCAAGTCATCAATGCCCACCCTAAGCACCACCCCCAGTCAAAAGTTCCATATACTCCCATACTTCATAATCCAGTCAGAGGAAGAACTCAGACTGCTCCCAGTTACCGGCCGGCTCCTCTCCACATCCTTAGAATAAAGGCCACTCCATTGCGCCCAAAAAATGCTAACAGCCCCTAGCTGGCTGATTTATGTAATGCATGCAGCCAGTGTTACTGCCTGAGGAGGGCAAAGCACAGGGGAGCAATGGCCTTTCCAGATTCACCTCCTCTTATTCTAGCCCAGTACTGTGAGTAGCAGACCAACTGGACACCTGGGCACCTAAAGCTCTTGGCTTTGTCTCCTGCTGTGCCCCTTAGAAGCTGGGAGCCATCTGGGGGTCATGCAACCTCAGCATGGCCAGCATAGGGGTCTGCACAGGAAGGGGTGGTGTCCTGGCCTGTGGGTAAGTCGATGGAGACCCTAGAGGTGGAGTGGGGATGAAAAGGAACAAGAGACACAAAGAGCAGGGACAAGACGAAGTCCTTCCGTTCAAGTCTCGTTTATTCAAGGAATGAGTATCAAATATATAGGGTATTGGGGAGGAGGGTTTTGGGTCCTGAGACAAAAGCAGTTAACTTAGCAACAGTGGCAAGACTGAGGGTCGTAGGTCAATTCAAATTTCCCATGGGGGGGCTCATAAGGCGGGCTGATTAGCATAATTCCTAAATGAGCCAAAGAAGCTAGGTAGGCAAGGTGCTGCTTAACTACCAAACTTAACTCCTAGAGGGAATTAAGGTGGTGCAGCCTGCAGATATAAGGTGGCAGCCAATTACAGGGCTTCCCACAGGGTGGGGCTTTAGGCAGTGACCCCACTACCTGTGCAATTTGAAGGAGTTCTGAGCAGCCACTCCTTTGGCCAGCCCCTGTGAGAAGTGCTACAGTTACAGCCCAGGACTTGTGAAGAAGGAGGAAACGGAGCACAGGCTGAGGACAGGGTTGAACAGGGTCCCCTGAGCGCAAAGATCAGCAAATTGCAGGGCTAGGGAGAGAAGAGGCTCTGTGTAAAATGGCTAGAAAAGGAGTCCAGACAAACTCGTAGTGAGTAGTATAATAAGTGTCAAATTGTTATGGATGATCTTTTGGGGATCATCCTGAGAAAAAGTAAATAACACCACCAGGTATTTATTGAGCACAGCCGAGCACAGCCCTGGACACTTTACTCATATAGTGTCTCATTTAACCTGTAAACCTATAATTCCTACCACTGTTCCTCTTTTATAGCTGAGGAATCTGATAAAGCTGGCTGCCAGTGAATCAGCTAAAAAGTGGCGGGAGCAGAATCTAAGGCCAGGATGTCAGCTGTTCAAGTCTACAACTCTAACCACCATGGCGTCCTGCTTCTCCAATAACTTCCTGCCTCTCCTACAGCAGATGCCCCTAAACTTCTCAACCCTTCTGCACACCAGCTCTTTCCAGATGCTGGTCCCTCAGGTAGGACCTCTGCCCATTCATCCCAGAGGGCAAGACAAGCCCCTCAACCCAGATCAGATCCAGGAAATGTGTTTGGACCCCAGAGAGAAACAGCTCACTTATTAGAGCAGTGGGGAATATATAATCTATTAAACTAATTTGTTGTATAACATTCCTATCTTCCTCTGGCTCCTGATGGCACAAAGATGCAAGATCTGAATGTAGATTGCCTGGATTTAAATCCTAGGCCTGCTATTTTCTAGCTTTGGAACTCAAACTGCCTGGGCCAGTTTCCCCATTTCTCAAATGAGGATGACCATAGCCTCCACTCCTCTGGGTTGCTTACATGGGAGATAAAAGCATTTAACCAAGCCAGGTGTGGTTGTGTGCATCTGTAAACCCAGCCACTTCGAAGGTTGAGACAGGAGGATTACAAATTGAAGTTCATTCTGGGAAATTAGAGAACCAAAAAAAGACAAGAGAAAGAAAAGCTGGGGGACAGCTGGGCACAGTGGTGCACACCCAGCACTCAGAAGACTGACACAAGAGGATTGTTGTGAGTTCGAGACCAGCCTGGGCTACAAAGTGAGCTCAAGGCCAGCCTGAATGGCAGAGCGAGACCCTGTCTCAAAAAGACAAGAAGAAGAAGGAGGAGATTGAGGAGGAGAAAGAGGAAGAGGAGGAGGAGGAAAAAAAAAGAAGAAGAGGAGGAAGAACAAAGACTGAGATTATAGCTCAGTGGTAGAACATTCCTGGGTTCAGTTCCCAGTACTGCAATAAATTATATACATACATACATACCAAAATAAATTCAACCAGTGCAAATTTTCCAACCTTGGATGACTAATAATTTGGGGCTAAACCTATAGTCATCAACATTTATTTGATATTTAGTTGGAAGCCCCCCTGAAAAGTGATACAGGCAGAGTAGAAAAGATCAGGGTGGCCCCAATCCCCAACTTGTCCACCTGACAAAGTAGGCTGGCATTGGAAGGCAGCACAGTAACTATCTTCTGTTGCTCAAACAGTTCCTTGAGGTTTCTCCCTTACGCTAGACACTTTATTGCAGTGTCCCTTCCAATAACAGCCATCTCGGGGAAAGAAGCTCTGGAAAACACAAGTCACGTGAAGAACTGGATGGGACCTTTAGAGTTTGCTCCTTGGGACCCAACATCTGATCTTCCCTCTGGATCTCCATGTGTCCCCTGCTGTCCTCTGAGTGTCTGCTCTCTCTCCAGCTGGCCAGGACATACCCCAACATGGAGGTGGAACTTGAGGCATCGCCTGAGTCTGAACCGCTCTTGACTTTCACTCCTGGGAATGTGACCCTCTCACCAGTGATAAATATCCAAGCTTTCGTCCTCCTACCCAACTCCTCTGACCACAGGCCACTCTTCCAGCTCAGGGCGGTAAGTCTGCTACTGACTGAGGCACCAGGGAGTCATGGTGCAAGCCCCTCCCTCAGCAGAGTGATAGCCACAGGACCGGCAGATGCTAAAACTCTGCCGTGAGTACCGCCCTCCTGAGCCACGCTGCCAGGCTTCCTGAAGGCACACTTCATCGGATCATAGACTGTCATAGATGCAGGAAATCTTGGATCATTTGCTCTAGCTAAGCTGCTAATTTTAACTTTCCCACAGTCATTTACTATAATTTTTTAAAACATGGTTTCACTTTGTAGTACACGGTGTGGTCTTAAATTTGTATTTCTCCTGCCTCAGCCTCCTGAGGGTTGAGATCACAGATATGAACCCCCAAGTCTAGCTAGTTCACTATACATTTTTTAAAATCTCAAACATCACTCTATTGAAGTTTCTATGAATCAAAAGTATAAAATTACCTTGTAAAAGACGATATAAGTATTTAGCAATACTCTAAACTGATTTACAAGCTCTCACAATTTTTATTTTAAAAATTCCAGCTACTTTCCTTAGAATCCAGCTGACAAGTTGATCTTAAAATTCACAAGTAGCTTCAAAGGATCCATTGGCTAAAACTCAGTCCCATGGCCACATGAAACTGCAAGGGAGGATGGGAAATGTAGTCCAGCTGTGAGCTCTGGCTATAAAGCTAATGAGTCTTAGTTAAAACATAAGAGGCTCAGTTGCAGCACCTTTCATGTCCATCTTTAATACTTCCTGGAAACTGTTGTATACATCTGAGCAGAAGCCAGACTTACCCATTTGGCTGGCATACGATATTGTACCTTTTTTCCTGTTACAAGTCTTTAAGACTTCAAGCCCTCACCCAGGTGCCACAGAAAAGAGCTCACCTCCTGGTAACAGGAAGTGACTCAATGGACCATTTGAACAGGACAGGGCCCTCCAGATTCAGTCACCTGTCAAATGCAACCCCTCAGCAGGAAAGTCCTTCTCTCTAAATCAGATGTCAGTTGGTGCTGTCCCTATGTTTCTCCAGGGCTCAAGGCTTTGTCAGTGTTCCTTGGTGGTCTGCTCCAAAGAGCTCTGTCATGGTTACAAACTGGAAGTACCCCTGTTCAAATGCTCTGTGCTTTCAGCTCAGGCTTATTCCCCATTCTCAATACTTTCACTGAGATGGAGACCTGGGAAACTTGGCTTCCCTTTCTGAGTGTCCCCTTCGGAGCTACCCTCTGCCTGCACCCTCCAGCCACAAGCCTGGGGAGCTGCTTTCTGCCCATGTGTCCCATAGGGCCTCATGCCCAGAATTTCTATTTCTGAGGACTTGTCTCCAGGACTTGTCTCCAGGAGCTAACATGATAGCTAAGCAAGCTTTTGCTTTTCTAGAATACCAGTGTTTCCATCAACGTCAGTGTGAACTCCAGCAGGATTGTTGGCTCAGTAACCACAGGAAGGTAAGAGACCAGGGAGTAGGAGGGGAATGAAGGCACAGGGTGACATCCTGATAGTGGCCAGGTTGACTGATGGGATCAGAGGTGACCCCCAGAGACAGATCTCCACCAGAGGTGGGACACTTTCCAATCCAGTTCCTTTGGGGAAAAGGCACAGTAACAGTGCCTCAGGGAGACAGCCAGAAGTAACTACAGAAGAGTTGCCATATTGCAGAGGCTGTCCTCGGGTACCCAGTATCTCTAAGCTCTTCCCTTGTCCCTCTCAGGCTTCTGTGGAGAAGATGACTCTCTGCAAAGGCAAAAACTTACTCAGGACAGTCTAGTTCAGGGTGGGAAGCTGTGTCACAAGGACTTTTCACTTCACTGAAAGAAATCATATCACAGAGCAGGAAAGATTTTTGATGGAGGGTTAAAGTGCCCCAAGCCACTGCCTGTAGCTCCCCTACCCAGATTCCCAGTCAGTAAACATGTGTTACACTGGTGAATCAGTGGGGAAAGAGTTCAGGCTTTGGTCAGCAGGGACTGTACTGCTTCCTGGGGTTGGAACTTGTCCTCTGTACTAATACCTGAATCTCACTTACTGTGTGTGCAGCTCTGTGTTGACATACACCAGATGAGCTACTTCCTGGATTTTATTTTAATACTGGGCACTGAACCCAGGACTTCTCACTAAGCTATTACCCCTAGCTATTTTTTTTTTGTTTTATATTTTATTTCAAGACAAGGTCTCACACTAAGTCACCAATGTCTAGGCTGGGATCAAACTTGTTATTCTCCTGCCTCAGTTTCCCAGAGTGCTAGGATTACAACTGTAAACCACTATGCTTGGTTTACTTCCTGGCGTTAGGTTAAATGTTTATAGGCTGATAAATTGCACTGAGATATTAAAATGAACATCTCCTTCAGAGGTATCTAGATAAGAATTCCTCATCAGAGGAACCAGCACAGCAGCCAAAAAGAAAGCCTATCAGGAAGGGCATCAATGGAAGAAGTTGGGGTTTGGTTTCCACAGCCACAGGGACCCACGTATCCTGAGCCACCCACTCTAGTGGGTGTCATCTGCATACTGCCACCATTTGCAGTGCTTCTCTTTCTCCTTCACATTGTCGGCTTCCATGTGATAAAGATAACTCATGCCGCTACACACCTCCACATTACACAAACAACACAGGCTCATTGTGTAGTCCAACATCAGACCAATAATAAGTATTAATTGCAAGAAAATATTAGAGATTAAAAAGGTACATAAAAAACAAAATCACCCATAACTTTGCCACACAGAGTCTGTGTCTCTTACTAGTTTTGTTTCCTTCCAGTTTTTAAAAAACACAATTTCTAGATTGCCTTACTAGCACATACCTGTAATCCCAGCTCTAGGGAGGCTGGGGCAGGAGGATCACTGTGAGCTTGAGGCTAGCCTGGGCTATGAAATGAGTTCAAGACTGGCCTGAACTACATAGTGAAGCCCTGTCAAAAAGACAAAAAACAAAACAAAACACAAAGCATACATTTCCCATGTAACTGGAAATACATAGTGCATACATTTTTGTATTCTACCGTTTTCACTTACTTTTTATATCATTATAATTTCTTCAAGTTATGAGTTCTTCAAGTTATGAGTTAAACCTTAGTCTTAAGCATAGCACTTTGCTCTCAAATCAGTGTGTGTGTCAGGCCCTGAGCCCACAGTGATACACTGTAGAGCAACTGCCAGGTACCCAGTCTCAAACAAAATGACTTTGCCTCCAAGCACAGTGCAAATTCCACTGGGGTGACAGCAAGAAACTTCTAGCCCTGACCTGGTGACCCAAACACTTTTATCTCCCCACACAGTGAGCTGAAGCTTCAACTGAAACAGTCCAGTGTCAGCGACATCAATGTGAGTCATTTCTCTCTGCATCTCTTGAATGTTTTTCCCCAATCGGGTGTCATGGAGTGTCAGGTAAAAGGCCTAAAGATGTCTACAGGCTCCCAGGAAATGGGGCAGCCATATCTGAAAGTTCAGCAGGCATGAAGAGCTTGACACCTAAAAAGACAATAGGACAGAGACTCTAAGGCCATGAGATTTGGAATAAGAAACCATCTCTGCCTGCTGCTGACTGTGTGACCATGGGCAAATTATGTGACCTTTCCATGCCTGGTTCTCTTACTCTAAATGGGAATAATAAGAGCATCTACCCAAATGGGAGCTACAGTATGAAGCAAGCCGATGAGTTCAGTAAGACACTGTGATAAAATGTCTCACACATGAAAATCTCTCAACTACATTCACTATTGGAAAAAGAATAGCACGGGGTTGCCTTTATACGACTTAGGGATTGAGGCCCCATCTTCTCACTGAATCATGGGTTCCAGTGGCTTTAGGAATTGATAACTTCTGAGACATAATAAGGTTCTTGCTCCGTATATTATGTAAGACTTCCAGGAAGTTCTGGAGAATCAGTGTGTAATCAAAGACACTCATATTTCTTCAATAAACTTTTACATGTTCATAAATTAGACCACTAAATAGCCTCAGGATAACACCAGTCCTATTGCACTTATGGAGAATGAGCTTACAGATGAGAGGGTTTGAGGAAGGGGCCGCTTGTTCATAATGGTGGTCAAGGGTCAACGCCTGTGCTTGAGGTGGAATGACAAGACAGGATCTCCAGAGGTGGAACCAGACATTTTTATTCATGTGTTACTTGATCTCTGTTCTGGCACTTCCTGTGTTCTAGGTGGAGCTAATGGAAACCATCCTCAACTACTATGCGTTCAATATTATATACCCGGCCCTCAATGGTAAGTAGAGCTCTTGCTGATGGCTCCATAGCACAAAGACTGAGCTCTTCCCTTTCCATAGGACTTCATGCTTCATTCATTCACTCACACACTCATCCATTCAACAAGACCTCTTGCCCATTTGAGAAGACAGGCGGGTAACAGGCAGTGGTACACAGTGTATTGAGTGCCATGGCAGGAACAATGGGGAGCTATAGGAGCCAGGAGGAAGCACCAAGAATGGCCTTGGAGGTCAGGCAAGGCTTCCAGGGCATGAGAGCTAAGGTAAAGAATTGGGTAGAGGGAGAGAAACATTCCAGGAGTTTGCAGTCCTGGCACTGGACCTGGTGAGGTGACACTGTTGGGTGACCTGAACAGAGGCTGCCTGAGAATCTGTAGTCCCCCTCAACTACCTAGGACCCTCTTCACTGGGCTTCAGCATCTGAGTTTTAAACTAAGAGATAAGAGGAGGTAACTTGGTCTGACAACAGAGTAAGACAGCTGGAGAGATCGAAGAAGTCACTGGGTTCACACGCCACACCTCTTCCTCAGCTACTTTGGGTGGAGGATGAGGGCTCTTAAATGGGCCCTCGGGGGCCCAAGGGGTTCCTCTCATCAGTCCTGATAAGGCTGAATTTCCCAGTCCTTGGTCTCAATATCCCAGCCCAAACCAGCCCTGAATCCATAATCCATAGGGGCTGCAAAGGTCATGGCCTGCTTCCTGTCTCCTCCTGGACTTCTGTGTCCAGCTCACCTCTGCTCTCTCCTCCAGCAAAGCTCGAGGAGGGCTTCCCACTCCCTCTGCCCAGGCAGATCTACCTCAACAACGTGGAACTCCAAATTCACAAAGTGAGTGAATGGGGTTGCAGTGCTGAGATGTGTTGGGAGGCTGCCTCAAGGGCTGGGGGACGAGGGGGAACCAGGAAAAAACATAAATTTTGCAGTGAAAATGGCAGGTATTGATGATCTGGCGTCTCAGCCACACATAGACTCGCTCAGTTCCTGATGATCCTATGGGTACACATTTACTGAGCACCCACACAGCACGAGGTAATGCATCCCTGGATGGCAGAATGGGTTTAGCTCAGCGGCATAAGCACCTGCCTTGCAAGCAGGCGGTCGTGAGTTCAATCCCTGGTACCGATAAAAAAAGACAAAAAAAAAAAAAAAAAAAAAAAAGAAGCATAAGTGCAGGTCGGATCACATGCCATTGGGGTTGAGGGGCATCCTAAACAAGCCTACAGTCACAGTAGTGATGTGCCAGCTGCCCCGAGTCCCTGGCCAGCCCTCCCACTCACAGCAAGGGACAGCTTTGGAGAAAACTGTGCCATACCTTCCATGGGGAGCACAGGCAAAAAACAAGTTTTTGATTTATATCCACAAAGGCCCTTTGCCAGTATCTTCACTGTTCACAGCTGTTTCCTTGCAAGGAGGCTCAGAGCTGCCTTCTGCTAAACTGAGCAGCTGAGACAGCACCCAGGTTTGCCTTTCTCTCCTGACGGAGTAACTTTTGTTTTTTTTTTTGATGGAGTAACTTTTGGAGGAAAGTGACTTTCATGGATGTCTTCTAGGGAGCAGTGCTTTGGGAAGTATAAATTCCTGGAGATAGGAAGCTGAGAACAGTTTACTGTGAAGCCCCCAGACTTAGGCTGAGACTTTTGATTCCTGTGGGAACCCGGACACCTGGGTGGCTCAGCAAATGACTTTTCTTGATTAGCTCTTTTGTCTTCTCTCTAGAACTTCCTGCTCATAGGAGCTGATATCAATTAGGTGAAGGATGGAGGAGACAGGAGCGGAAGAGAACCCCAGGCTGCAGCCTCTTCCTCCAGCTCTCTGCCCCATGGACAGCGGGCACCAATGAACCTGTCACATTTGAAGCCATGGACACGGGACACTCCCAAACTTGCTCCTTTCTGTATTCCCACACCTTCTCTTTACAGCTATCAGTCTAACCGAGGGAGCTCAACCTGACTGCACCAATCAACTAGAATAAACTTCCATAAAGGATAAACCCATGAGCATTCATTAGTTTCCATGTCACCTGCTCCACATGACACCTAGGGAACTTACTTGTACATGTCGCCCAGTGGCATGATTAAGTCAGACACGTGCTGAAGCCTTCTTTGGCCACTTCCTGGGTATGCAACAATGAGATGGAACCACCCTGGGGCGGGCAGGCTCAGAATGGGGCCTGCATGTGTTCACCAGATTTTCAACTTTGATTATCCTGCACTGGCCTCAAAACTAATGAGAGCCCTCCCATCAAATTTAGGATTAAAAACCACAAAGCTGACAGAAGGTACACACTCCTGAGTCATTTGTGAAACAACTATACTCATACACTAGTCTAGGGGGACCCTTTTGCTAGGTTTCAAGCCCTTATCTTCCAGTGGCAGCACAGCATGCTGATGCAAATCCAGGGACCAGTGGAATAGTGTTCTCTGTATATTGTCCTTCCTCCACGGTGACAGCCACATCCTTGGTAAGCATCCTCCAGAGGCTTTAGCTCAATTCCACCCCAACCAACCTACACAGATCCCCTTGGCATACTGGTATACTTCCACCTTACAGCCATAAGAGAAGCACATGTGCCTACAACCTGAAGCCAAGGTGGGAAAACCTGAAAGGTCTGACTCACACACACAGCACCTCAACACAACCAGACTCAAAAAACAGACAGCAGTCTGATGCCAAGACCTGGCGCCTTTTCCTTCTTGCCAATGGATTGTAGGCAACTGGCCCTAACAGTATAGGGTAAAGGTTTGGTGATTATTCCTGTTTCAGGATGAATCTCGTTTCTTCTGCTAGTCACAGCTTTAAGTTTCTTTGTTACAGTAAGTGCACAAATCTGACTGCTGAACCTGGCCCCTGGGTGGCTTTTATTTTTTGAGTCTCATGGTGTGGTTCAGGCTGGTCTTAGATTCATGGTGATCCTCCTGCCTCCCAAGTGCTGGGATAACAGGTGTGTTATCCCTGGGTTTTAACAGTTTTTCGTTTGCTCTTTGCAGCAATTTAAATTTTTACTGTTTGCCCTACAGACGTTCAGTTTTAAAAGCAACAAGTAATCCGTATTATTAGTTTTTATTTCAGCCCTACCCATCCTGTTCTCCTTCACTCCTAAAATTGTATTGTGTTTTACCAGTTTGTCCACATCACTTTACAAAAGCCTTTCCATTTCTTCTAGTCTCTTGAAGCACTATCTTCACTAATAATTTCTCACTATCTTCACTTATCATTTCGACGTGATTTTTTTTTTGTCTTTCTCATTTTTATCGATACCAGGGATTGAACTCACGACTGCCTGCTTGCAAGGCAGGCGCTTATGCCACTGTGCTAAGTCCCCAGCCCCTCAAGTTTTAATTTTTATGTGAGCATGTAAAACTAATAAATCTCCAAAAATTATTTCAGATACACAGTACCATTCTAAAACACACAATTTTATTTACGTGGCAACAGTTTCTAATTCCCCCAATGAACTCCACTTTGAGGGAGTTTTATTTTAAAATGCCTAGTATTATCCAAATACAAGTAACCTTTAAACCTACTGTACTTAATTGTATTATTTTACAAATCAAAGTCTATAATCCTAATTCTTTGGTAGTGACAGTTTTTTAACTTGGAACACAAAAACACTAAAATACCTTTTCTTCAGAAAGGCACATACTCTGCGATCATTTAGACCTAAAATGTTCTCCTAAGTTCACATGCATTTGGAAGGCGACTGTGTCAGGAGGCCTTGTGCTCCTCCGTGAATCCGCCCACTGATGAGCTAACTGTGCTGTCAGGGGGTGGGCAGGCTGGGCTGGAGGAACAGGTTAGGGCCAGTGTGGATCCAAATTCTTCCCAGGGTGAAGAGCAGTCCCCAATGCTCTGAGCAGCCTGCAGGGACAGCCACAGCTCCAATTACACTTCCTCTGGTGGCCTCAGTCTCCATTTTCTGCTCCTAGAGTTCCTGGACAACACCAATAGGATCTAAAACAAAGAGAGGTGACAAGAAAGGTTGAGAGCTTCATCTGCATAAACACAAAACCCCTTAGCCCTGGCTGTGGGTTCCAGGCCCCTGGCCCTAACTTACCATCACTGAGAAAAAACTCAGTGCACTCAGATCCAAGCTCTCCCCAGGGTACAGACTGTCAGGCTTGGTGAGAACTGAGGAGGCAAACAAAGCACTCAGGCTCCAGCACCAGGTTCTCCCACGCAAGCTGATATCACACGGGCGTTCCTAATAGACAGCTCCAGTTTATGCACACCTCATTAGAAGTCCTAAGAACAGAAAAGTAAGTTTTTATAGCAAATGATTTTCTTTCCAGCAGTTCACAATCAGAGCAGGACCTCACCATCCATCATGCTGGAATAATGTATTTCGCAGTAGAAGCCACTCAATCCACGGCCTCACAAAAGACTAAGCTTCATCTTCTGCCTTTTATTTTCAGAAAGGATCTTGCTAAAAAGCCCAGGCCGTCCTCAAACTTGGGACTCTCCCACCTTAGATGGCCAGGTAGCCAGGATCACAGAAGTGTACCCCTGGGCCCAGCTAAAGCATCCCGAACAAGAAGACAGACCACCCCTGCTAGCAGCTCTTCCATCACATGGTCTTCACCTGTCTGCCCAACCTACTGCAAAGCCCTCACAGCTGTCATCCTGTTTCACAAAGATCCATTCAATTTTACCCAGCCCAGAGAGACAAGTGGAAGCCAAACATCTAGAGACTTGTTAGGTAGCGAGGTCTCTAAAGATCACAAATCCGACTTATATGATAAATGCACAAGTGATCAATGGTTGATGTCATCACACAGCAAGTGAACCCCACACAATCCGGAGGACTCCAAACCCATTCTCAATTACCAGGCCTTCTGGAGAGAAAAGCTGCCTGCCTGCCTATATTTCCTTATGTTGAAGCAGGTTTTCCTTGTGTGTAGTTCAGGCTTGCCTTGAATTTAAAACTACGTAGCCCAAGCCAGCCTGGAATTCACAGCAATCCTACTGCCTCAGCCTCCCAAGTGCTGGAACTGCAGGCACGTGGCACAATGTCTGGCTTCGAAGCTAGGATTTTAAAAGGGTCACGACTGTCCATTAACTCTCCATGCCTGGCAGACCTACAAAGCGCCAGGACCAGGAGAACAACTGGGGAAGGAAGGCAGGCTGCTGGAGAAGCAGTACACAAGGATAAAGGACTGCCAAGTGGCCCAGGCCTGCACTCAATGTTGGGGCCACCCTCAGTAAATTAGCACAGCCTTCCTCAAAATTAAAGGGCCAGTACTGTGGAGGCTTTGTCCTTGGGAAGCCCTATGTAGGTATACACGGGGGACACTAAGGCAGGAAGATCACTGTGACTTCAAAGCCAGCCTGAACTACAAAGTAAATCTGTCTCAAAAAATGAAAGAGGAAAAAGAAAAAAAAAAAAAAAAAACAAAACAAAGAGGACTAAGGATGTCACTTAGTAGTAGAACAGGTGGGTGGTGCTAGCATGCATAGCCATCCCCTGTGGTGGGGGAAGGGACAGGATAAAGAAGCCAATGAGCATTTAAAGCACAGCTGTATTCAAACATGCATTATCCAGAGTATCCTCCACTCCGACAAATGTCGTAAAGCAGAATCCACAACTTACAATTCTCACACGTGTCCTACAGTGCTGCTAGGATTTACTGTGGTAACAAGTCTAAATGGAAATGCATAGACCAGCATCTGGCAAAGAACCTTAATTTTTCAAGTCAGGAAGCTGCTCTAGTGCCATGAGGGCCAGTGAAGGCCAAGGTCTGAAGGGTAGGCAGGAAGCCTGGAGTGTGGGAAAGCTCCTGAGCTTGCAAGCGATGGAAAGAGGCCCCTGCAAACACAGGGAAAAGGTCTTCCATGTTCCTCTCCATGCACTGCCAATAAATGAGGCACAGGCAGCCAAAGATCATGTTTGGTTAGGGGACCAGAAAAGGGCAAAGAGTGGGGAAGACAGGGAGGTTGGGGCCAGGGAGCTGGGGAATGCCTGATGGCCTGAGTCCTAGAGAACAGCCCAGCTGAACCCAGCATCCAACTACCTGCCACTGTGACCTATGGATTACGGAAGTCCAGCATAAATATACTGGGTAGGCTTTTAGGTTGGAAATGGTCAAGAACTATGATTTTAACACCAGAAGAAAACACATCAAAACAAAACACTGCTAACCCAGCTGAGCTTGTGAAAGGCTGAGAGCAGGTCACTTGCCCAGATGGGTCAATCGGAGGATCAGAGTCGCTGGTGCCTGAATCCAGACCCTTCTCTTCCTAACACGGTAATGACATATCTCAGCCCCAGAGGCAAGATGACCCAGGAAGCTCTCTTACCCAGGCAGGTTTCTGGATGGCCCTTCCTGGCAGAGTTGCGGGAGAGATGGGGGGCTCCCTGGCCCAATGCAGATTAATACACCTGGAACTCACAGGATGCCGCTCTCACCTCACTTCCTCATATGCCCCCACCCAAGCCCTAGGGAACATGGACAAAACAATATGCCAAAGAACAGTCCAAAAATCATTCCTGTAGGCTAGGTAGACAACACATCTATGTATAGTCTCAGCACAGAGGTCACCGTCTCCAACAGAGCGAGCACTTGGTAAGGCAGCTGGCACCTCACAGGTGCTGGCTGTACCCTGAGTACTCTGCAGCCACACTGCTACTTCTCCATCAAGGAGCCCTAACTGAGGAAGGGTGTGCACACCACCTGTGACTGGAATGACGTCCACATTATTTAGTACCTGCTGAGACCCAGCTGCTGATCATTGGTGTTTGCTAAAAGGGTGCTGGAACCCAGAAATCCCTCTTCTTGGTGCACACCCAAAGGAGTGCACCATTGCTTTAGAAAGACAGGCACTCACACATTCACTGCACCATTACTGATCATATCCCACCCTGCAAGGTCATCAACAATGAACAGAGAAAAATGTCCATTTAACTTGTATCTAACACACACACACAGTGTCAACTTGATAAGTTTACAAGCTGAAGCAAGTGACTCAGCAGCTGTATATCCATTAGAGTGTAGAGGACATGCAGGACCACTCTAGGATGTTGCTGTGTCCATTTGCCAAGTTGGTAAGTTTAAGTAACTGGCTCAGCATGCAGCATTTTTCATGTTTGGGTTTGTTTTTTTTTAATGAAACTAGAACCAGATGTCATGGTACATCCCAGCACTTGAGAGGCTAAGGCAAGAGGACCACCACAAGTGTGAAGCCAGCCTGGGCCTCAGCCTCTCAAGTGCTAGGACATATCTCACACCTAGCTCTCAAGTTTCATTCTTGACCTGAGGACTTTACTCTCCAGAAACCAGGTATCAAAAGGGGATCCCTGAAAGCCAAGAGAACTGAAGAGGAGTAAGCAGTTGGTAAGAGCACACAATGGGTGATACCAATGCATACCTTAGAGGGTCCTGAGAGCAGGCAAAACTCTTAGGAGCTGCACCCTCTGGGAAGTGAGGTGTGTCCCACCTCAGAACTGAGTGCCCTCCCATTCTCACCAATATAGACCTAAGGGCTCTCAATCACACACCACTGATATGTAAAGATACTACCCCACCTTATCCCTAACATATTCTCTGCTGCATTCCCCCAGCCCTGCTCACCCTAGTCCCAAAGTCCCTTGCCAGCTGTCCCAGCTGCCCTAGCACATGTCGACACTGCACCTCCTGTTCTGGAGTGTTTTAGAAACCTGCCCCCCCCCCCACACTCTTCAGGAAGCTGCTCTGGAAGGACTTGGAAACCACCGCACACACTAATGTTGCACTTTCTACTACTGTGCAGATACTCGCATGCGTTCACTAGGATTCCTCAAACAATCTTTCCATGAGCAGGTTGAGGCTCTGGAATCCTGATCCGCCCCCCACAGGACTGAACTCTGTTGGGCAACATCTCAATGCATAGACACCTTGCTTGCTGCAAACAAGACAAGGCGAGAAAGACGCTGACATGGCGACCCCTGACGCTGACTCCCGGGGCAACCCAAGAAGCACCGCATTCCTACAAGGCTTGCAGAACAAGAATGTGGGAAAGCTCCAGGGTTCAGAAGGGACAGATGGACCCTCCAAACACGGGGAAAACATCTTTCAATATTTCTCTCCCTGCACTATCAATGACCGGGGCACAGTCAGCCCACAATCACTTTCGAATACAGGGCAGAAAAGAGCAGAGGGAGGAGGGCCAAGATGTACAGGAGCCTGGTGCCAGATGCCTGGTCCACAAGGAAAGGAGCACAGGATCCTGCAACTGCCATGTGGGAATCAAACGGGAGACCCTCCGACAAAAATGAGAAAAATCTGGGGGCTGAAGAGCAGGATCACATGCTCATGTCTATAAAATTCACCTGTCAGAGCTTTGTCTTCCTGCCAGTGGCCCTTACTGGGTCCTGAAACCTGGCTTCCAAAACATTCTTAGTAAACAGCTAGCTCCACACGGCACCTCCATGAACCCAGCTCCCTTTGCAAACAACCTGGCTTGGGTTGGACACCTGCTCTCCTGCTGAGTCTGGACTTGCACACCTGCAAGGCCAAAGGCATCTACACAACCAGCCCTCTGTAAAAGCCCTGGGTTCTGACTCTCCCACTAGATCCCTGGCACAACCATATGGAGGAATGAAGAGACAGGTATGGGTGTCTGTGATGCCTAAGTTCACCCACTTCCTGTTACAGCTTGCAGCTGCTGTAACACAGGAAAAGGCCCAGAACTCAATACCAGCAGGTCTCTGGAGAGGTTGGTCGTTTTTTCTGCCAAAAGGCAGGTGGGGCCAGCTATAGTGGTGCACACTTAGAATCCCAGCAGCAAGGATGTTCAGGTAGAAGGTTCACCGATCAAAAGCAAAACAAAACAACCCTAGAGTGGGGAACCAGATTGTAGAGTTCCTTGTAATTTCAACAGGTAAACTTGGGATGGGGAATCACAAGGCTGCTAACTCCAAAGAGCTGGAACCTTTTTGTATGGTACCAGGGATCAAACTCATGAGCTTGCGCTTGTCAGGCAGGCGCTTGTATCACTGAGCTAAATCCCCTGCCAGGAGCCTGAACATCTTAAGGATGGGATATTTTCTCAACCCACATAGAGAAGGGCCTGACAGGGAAACAAGGAAGGTTCCAGGGGAATAATCAGGTAACAGTTAATTCAGCAACCTGAAACAAACCTCAGCAGAACACAATGTCTTTGTTACTCCTGAATAAATCTGAAGTTTGAGTCAGTTCAAGGCTTCCTTTCCGTGAAGCTCCCTAGCCCTCCGCAAAAATATTCTCTCACATCTTCTTTTGTCTTGCTGTCAGGGGTTGCTGGCCCAAACCTGGTACCAGATGTGACTCAGATGTCCAGGGAAGGGAGATCTGGGGATCCATGTACCACCCTTCATCTCCTCCTAATCACCTGCTTACACCACTATCCAAAAAGGCAGAGAAAAAGAACCGACTTTACAGGGTACAAAAAACCATGACTCCTGAGAATGGACCAGAAACCTGACCTCAGAGCCCAGTCTGACGATCTCTAGTGTGATACTTAGGACCAAGCCTCTCCGTACAGTGGTGCACAGTGTTGACTTATCCATATTACCATCACGAAAGGTCTCATTATTTTAGGAATGAGAAAATCAGCTTACCTCTAGGAAAAGGATTGGAGATCTCCTAAAAGTGGTGGAGCGTGTCTGTTTTATCTGTTGTGCCAACTATTATTGATTGTCTTCAATGTGGCATTTGTCTGCCAGCATGTGGCACAGACCTGGGGAGGAGACAGAGCAGCAGGAGGGCTGTGTAAGGAAGGGCCACTTCCATAAATCCCTCACTTACATCCTGTTCTGCCTATCCCTGCTCCTTGCCACAGTAACCACAGGCTAGAGTTGAAAAGTCATCCCCTGGAGGTGACCTGTTGAATTCTGCAAGAGGAGAAAATACCAGTGTGCTCCTGCACAGACATCTTACTGTACCCCCAAACCAGCACTGCACAAGGCGATGCATCCCAGCTCTTACAGCAAAGGGAATCTCCTTGTTTTTCCTTTGCCCTAGGCTCATAGAAAACTGATCTTCTGGAAAATGAAGACACAGAAGAAACGCGCCACCCTTCTGACCACCAGGAAGGAAGCCAGGAGACAAGCAAAGCAGTAACTACCCCTCAGTCTGCTTAGTGCTGAGGCCCACTGGATGGAGACTGAGAAAGTCCCTGGAGGAAGAGCCTGATGCCAAGGCTCCACACCCATCACAGCCCATCCACTTCTGGTGAGGTCCAGGCTTCCACAACCTTCTCTCAAGAAGTCACAGAAACCTGCCCCAGGCCAGAGAGAAGGGCCACTTACTGAACTGGATGATGCAGGAGCCAGGAGGCATCTAAAAGCTGTGGGAAAGCACCAGGGTCTGGTAGGACAGCAGTAGACCTTCCAAACACGGGGAAAGGCTTTCAGCAGTTCCTCTCCCTGCACTATCAATGACCAGGGCACAGGCAGCCCACGATCACTTTCGAATACAGGGTGCAGAAGGACAGAAGTTAAGCTGGACGGAGAGACCATGGCCAGCATTCCAGGAAATGACGGAGCTGGGAGGACAGAAAAGCTGCTTTGTGACTCTAGAGATCACCTGGCGCTCCCTGACAAGAACTGAAGGCAAACATTGGCAGAATTCTTGGGAATTCTTGAGCTAGAGTGATAACAATACTGAGCATCATCCACTGAGGCACACAGAAGACGAGAAGGCTGCTCACTGCATAGGAACCTAGAGTTAAGTCTGGAGGTGGCCCTCTGTCCATTCCAACACACTGCTGTTTTCCTCCTCATAACAGAGGGCCGCCCTCAGGAATGCTGGGAGCCCAAACCCAGCTCTGGAAGCACTTTCTCTGCAGCAGCCCCTCAAATAAAGTAGCCAAGTGGGCCAGAACTAGGAGCACAGGGAAGCAGCCTTCCTCCTTGAGCTCACTCCCCATCCAGAGCACTGAAACTCCTCTGACCTCCGACAGTACACGTGAGCTCTAAAAAACTAAGTACATCACCACATACCTGAGATTTCATCATCTTCTCCCTGAGAAAACCTCTCACACACTTATCAGCACACGTGTGACACTCCTGCAGGAGACAAGAAGCCAGCATATGGACAGCCCACTTAGCACTGTTGACAGCATGTCCAGGAAATGACAACCTCAGCAGGAATCAGTAGGGGGCAGGGAAGGCACTGACAACTCAAACTGTACATTCTGAGATCACTGCCAATCCCTTGGGAAAGAAAACAATGTTGTCTCACACGTGAGGAAAACCTCCTGGCTTTTCTGAATTCCCAAAGACAGCCTACAGTCACAATGGACAAGGAGTGGAAACAGACACGGGGCGTGGCAAAAATGCCAGCCAGTGTCAGACACCTAGAAAATGGCCTGGGCCGGGATGGCAACAGCACAGAGAACAGGACCCAGCAGCTGCCTTCCTGTCCTGCGTGAACTTAACCTGCTCCATCCAAGACACACAAAGGGAAGATGCCCCACATAAGAAAGTAGGAACAATGTACACCTAAGACAAATTACCACTTTACACTCCCTAGTTTCCTGATGAGGAAACCAGGAATGTGGGCAGGTCCCCAAACTAGGACATGGCAGTGAGGTGATGGGCACTGGGGCATGAGGGAGTACAATGCCAAAGCCATTCTGCATTTGACACAGATGTCCTGCTGCCTGTATACCAAAGGAAAACACAGAGTACCATAAACCACTGGACCCTAAACGGATACAGCAAGAGCCTGGTGCATCTGTAACTAGGAACCAAATGAAGCTGTAGTTTCCATCCACTTCCCAGCTTTAGGGACCACAAATTCACAGTGACTAGTTCTGCATATTTCCCTATGGGAGAAAAGGAAGAATTGGGATTAGTGACACCACTCATCTCAGATTCCAACTGACTCTTCTAAACCTAAGATCATCTATGCCTTCTTGAGTCATCTCAGGATTACACTCAAGGACAAGATACTTCTAACCATAATGTCATCTATTCCCTCTGGGTCGGAGTCTTCAGATGAACTGTAATACTTGGCTAGCCCCACCTATCACTGCTGACAGCTAATAAATAGTGGCTGTGCGGGAGTGAAGCACGGGGATCCAGAGACTTTGACTTCCCAGCAATTCTTGGAATTTTGTATTTGTCTGGTTTTTATTTTCTCATGGCATTCTTTAGACTGAAAATCAGGATTCTCAGCTAGGTTCCCAATATCAGATATGGGAGATCTCCAGAGTTCCCACTTCTACCTGGAGCTACATGGTCCAGCTACTTCGTAGCAGAATGGAGACATGTCCATGCCCGCTCTGCATCAAGCTGCCACCACTGCAATAAACAAGCCCGCAGGAGCCACTTAAAAATCATTAGTCAAACCTCTCCTGGGCAGTACACGGAGAAGCTGGCATGTGGGAAGTGCTTCACAGACACTGTCATAATTACCTGAAGAGTGTCCTACTGTCTGTTATATGAAGAGCTTATTTAAGGAGAAGACCATGCAGGGACATCCTCAGTTTCATCTTTTTTTTTTTTTTTTTTTTTGTGTTTTTCATTTTTCTCGGTACCAGGGATCGAACTCATGACCGCCTGTTTGCAAGGCAGGTGCTTATGCCGCTGAGCTAAATCCCCTGCCCCCCTCAGTTTCATCTTATGTACAAGTAGGTTAGTCTGCAGTGGCCCTGAAGCTGAATGCTGGACTCTGGAAGGCTGGATGTGCCAGCATGCACAGCAGTCTTGACTTGAAGCACCAGCAGACTAGCCCACTTTTGTCATCTAAGGGCCAGGGCAGATTACATGGGTCACTTGACTATGTCATCCATCTCCAGGCCTACCTGTTTGGCTCCTGGCACCAAAAGGAGCATCCATTGGGATACCTATCCTGGTGGGCCAGGGGAATTTGCCTTGCTCAAAAGTATGCTTCTGAAGTGACAAACTATGCTGAGGGCCATGACATGGCAGGCTTCTCTTCTTTTCTCAGTTTCATTTGTTCTCTAAGTGCCAAACACTGAGAATCTGCAATGCCAGGAATGAGATAAATCAAGGGGTAAGACTCAGACACTCCCCTTAAGATCACAGGAGAGATACAGAGCCCAGCAAACCAACAACTGCTAAAGGGTCATTCACAATGAGCTGAGGATAAAAAAGTGACCCCTGCTGTGGCTTTACTCCCCACCCACAGGTGCTCCTTGAGGAAAGCACTCAACTCCATTCGCCCCTGCTAAAGCTTCAGACACCAGCACTGAGCTGCACAGAGCACCCAGTAAGCAAGACACCAGAGGCCCAGGGACATCTAAAAGGTGGCAACAAGGTGTGCAAAAGCTCCAGAGTTTGGAAGGGACGGGAGTGAACCCTCCAAACACAGAGAAAGGCTTTCAGCAGTTTCTCTCCCTGCATTACCAATGCCCAGGGCACAGGCAGCCCTAATCATTTTCAAATACTGTGGCAAAAACGGGCAGGTAAACCAGGAAGCTAACATGTAACCACAATTTCCTCCAGCAGTCCAGAGATGGAAGACTACTAGCCAAGCCCAACTCCTGAGAGCCATCATCACACAGAAGATTCCATCAGAGCTGCCACCTGAGGTGGCACATGCCTGGAACTCCAGTGCTCTTAGAAGCTAAGGCAGAAGGAGCACAAGTTTGAATATAATCTGAGCAATTAAAGTGCTTAGCAAGAGAACACCTCAAAATAAAAAACTAAAAATAAGGTGAAGTAACTCAAAGCAAAAACCCAATACCCAACACTGAGTTCTACAAAGGGAAAAAGAAATTCCACCTGCCACGAAAACCTCACCAGAATACAAATTTATGGTCAAGATGATTCAATTCTTTACCCCACAGATATCCAGAGTATGTGTACACTGCCAGGGCAAGATTCGAAATGCAATCAGTCAGGCTGCTACTCTCAAATCTTTGCAGCTTCCCTACCTCACAGAAACTAAAGCTCAGAAGCATCAGGTTATTCAGCTAGAATCTGACCTCCTGTCTTTGCACCCAACCCCGACCCCAAGATCCCCATGTGCTTCACCAGGCTTCAGTGTGCACAGGGGTTTTGCCAGGCAGATCTCAGAACCCAAGCCCTCCACCACCACTGCTCTGCAGGTATAGGTGGAAAGGTAACCTAAGAGGGCTCCCACTTCAAGTTCAGCTCCAAAGCACTGACCAGAACAGCAGGGCTCTGCACTGGCAGCAGGGAGAGCTGGAGAGGCAGTGTAGGGGAGGGACCAGCTGGCTGGCTGCTGTAGAATCCAAGGTGCTGACCACAGGAGAAGTTTCCATCCATCTCCACATGTCCGTGAAGAAGCAAGGCCTAAGCAGGGGAAAGAGGAAGGAGCTTCAGTGCTAGCAGGGGACTGCAGTCCCAATGACATAGAGGGAATACAAATCCCAACCTGCTACAAGTCCTAAAATCAGCGTCTGTTTTCTCTAACATTGAGGAATGAATTCTAGGAAAAAAGAAGTTAAGAGAAGGAAGAATGTACTGGGGAAGAGGGACAGAAGGGAGCCTGGAAAGAGAGCTGCCCCCAGATCTCACTTTCAAAGGTGTTTATAGGGCAAAGCCACGAGGTGAGGCAGGTTCCAAGTAGGACACAAATGCAATCAATCAATCAATAAGATTACAAGCATAGTTGCTCAGGTAATATTGATCCTGTGGAAAATCACAAGTTGAGTATGAGATGAACCAAGACTATGGTGAACTAAAAGGTATAGTCGCTGGGGTAACACTGATTAAATGGAGATCAAACTGGGAAGTCACGCAGCAAGAGCACATGGGATGGCCAAGGATTTTCCTGCAAGGAGTTAGGGGAAGTATATGACTAATTCCTCTCTTGCTGCAGTCTGGCCTTCAGTGAATGTGCCCCCATCCACAGTTGTCTTCTGCATTGAACTCTCCAGGGTCCAGCGCTGTCCGACTGGTCTATAATATTTCTACCTAATTTTGCTGTCCGTAATATCGAAGCTGTTTCCTAGGGTTCTGGGAGCGTCCGTAATTGAAACCTTAGCAAAATGGAGATTTTGAGCCCTGGCCCTGAAAGATCGTGGAGGGAAAGGAGTCCGGTGGTCCTAGGTAGTGCCTAGATGGCACTCACTGCTCCCGTCTCAACGAACCACAAGCGGATTCGGCGTTGTGACTGCCTCGAACCGGAGGCCCACACGCGGGCAAGAAAGATCACGGCGCCCTGCGCTCCTCGCTCCAGGCCCGCGAATAGCGTCGCCTGGACGCTGACCGCAATTGGCATCCTTCCCCTGACGGCCGAGGCCGTGGCCCACTATCGGCCTCCTCCGAGAACACGCGAGTCTCTGGGGACCTAGGCCCGGGGAACACGCGCCTCCGGTAACCATCCCGGAGCATCCCGCCCGCGGGGCCTCGCTTTCATCGAATGGACCAGCGCCCCGCAGTGAACTCACCGTGCAGCCCCAGTGTCGGGCGGCTGCCGAGAGAGAACAGACAGCTGTGCAAGAAGAGAGATGTTTGCAGATTCTCGGAGTTCTGAGGCACTTAGAAGAGCTGGCATCGCGACAAAAGAAAATCCCGCGGAAGCGCGGCTGGAAGACCAGGTTGCGGCCTAGATCGGCACCACACCAGGAGAAATGCTCGTATTCCCGACATCGCCCTCTACAGGCACAGGAGGCCAACGTCGGGTTTGGGAATATTTTCAAGAGGCCTTTGGAATTTTGGAAGAAAGCCTATCTCATTTACTCTGCTTTGCAGTTGTCCTGATGACATTTTTTGATCACTGATTTATCGTTAATATATAGGAATGATTAGTACAGGTTGCGTAGCTATGACCAAGTCGTGCAATGTGTTTGCCTTTCTTTCTGCAAGCTTCTCATGCACTTCTGTCTGATTCCCTCCTGTGTCTGGTGTGGTATCTGCCACGCACTGTTGTAGCTTGGCATAACTGACAACATTTTCAACCCTTCATATAACTGGTGCCCTGTATTCAGGACAATGGAAAATCACTCAGGGGATAAGTCCCATGAGAAGAACAGAATGAGCCGTACTTACAGGAGAAAAATTAACCTGCTCAACCAAAGGAGCAGGATACAGGTGTCAACCAAAAATTAATGGAAGATTCGAGCTAAATTGTTTCCAACAGGATGTCTTTTGTGATTCTATCTTTTAAAAACACTGTAACTTACCTTGCCACTTGTTTGGACCGTGAAGGGGGGAGGGCAGTGTCTGTATTCGAGTGGTCCTGAGCTCAGTTAATTAAATTCCAGATTTATCAGTTTGGCTATTTAGAGTACTATATTGTTGTTCACAAACCCACCTCAACACCAGGTTCCCATATCGAGTATTGTCCAGGGCCTGTAGCAGAAGGGTGAGAAAATGAGCCCCGACTGGCAGGCAGGGGATGAATGGTTACCTAAATTTCAAATAAATTAGAAATACGTGAGAGTGGCCAGATGTGGTGACACGTGCCTGCAATCCCAGCCATAGGGACTTTGAGGCAGAAGGAGCTTGAGTTTGTTGCCATCTTATACACATTAGTGAAACCTTGTCTCAAAATGAGAAAGAAAGGGGTGCGGGGATGTAACTCAGTGATAGAGGGCTTGTCTGTCCTCTAGGAAGCCCTGGATTCCCAAGCACCACAAAATAATAATAACAATAACTAACACTAAATGATTTTTCTTGGTTTTTTTGAGACAGAGTGATGCTATGTAGTAGTTCAAGCTGGCCTTAAATTCAGTATGTAGCCCAGGCTGCCTTCAAACTCTCAGCAGGCATCCTGACTCAGCCTCCTAAGTGCTGGGGTTACAGGGGTGTGCCATCAACCAGACCAACAATTTGAACAATTGTATTTAACCTGATACTATAGCCAAAATAATCTGATAGCATGTAATCAATACTTTAAAATTATTGACTTGCTTACCACTCTTTTTCTTACACAAATCTGGTGTCATATCTTGTAATCCACAAATGAGTCCCCCAAAGCCCAGCCTGAAGTTCAAAAACGGGTAAGACATGGTTTTTTTTTTTTTTTCTTTTTTACCGGTACCAGGGATCGAACTCACGACCGCCTGCTTGCAAGGGAGGTGCTTATGCTGCTGAGCTAAATTCCCAGCCCTGGGTAAGACATGTTTTTAAAAAAAATCAGCACTGATTTATTTTATCATGGATCCAGTAACACAGTGCAGTTGGAGTTTGCAAAAGCTGTGTGTTCCCCTCAAAACTTACAGCCCTTTTGTAGATATCACAGTTTACAAAGTAAGGGGTTATGGGTGTGGATCAGGAAATCTGCTAAGGAAATGTTTCCCTTAGCAGAGGACAGAGAAGTCTAGCAGTAATTAACAATTCTTTGTCAGCTTATTTTAACACTACATCTGTTATTTCTAGAGGGCAACAATGGTTAACATATCAATTAGATTAGGTTCCCCGGGATTTACAATTCTTTACAGAGAGGAGCATTGATTAACATATCAATTAGGTCACCCAGAGGGGGGAAAAACCCCATAAAGAACAGTAAGTGGCATTACAGGTACTTTGGCATAACACAAACATAACGAAGCTCTTTTTGCTAGGGTACAGCAACATAGTAATTCAGACCAACTAGAGTTCAGGGACTAAGCAGCCAGAAGGAATTCATGATGGTTGTGCTCATTTGTTCTGATCTGAGGCAATCTGGCTTTCATTACCCTTTAGGGGCTGAAAGAGAGAGGCAGCCACAGCAAGGAAGCAGAGAGCATTCAGCTTTCCCCTCACCCCACCAGCAGAGCCAGGAAGCCCTTTGGATGATGTGGCCCTCTGGATCCTCAGACTGGAGTTTCCTCAATTAGAAGAATAAGGCACAGGTGCTCTCAGAAATCTGGAAAAAGGAAGAACCATAATTAAAACCAACGTTTTCTTTTGTGTTACTTGTGGCCATTACACCATGGAAGTCATCTTGGCTCATTCATTTCTCCATCTTTGGTGCCTACAGAAGAAATCGACAGATTCCTGGACTCATATGAATTACCAAATCTGAATAAAGAAGATATGAAAATCCTAATAAGTGAATATGGTTAGGTGAAATTGAAGGTGTAATTAAATAACCTGTCAAAAAAGAGAAACCCTGATGGATACAAAGTCAACACTCAAAATTCAATAGCCTTCCTGTACACAAATAACAAACACAGAGAGACAAACCAGGGAAAAAACACCTTTCACACTAGCATCCAAAAAAAAAAAAAAAAGGAAATATCTAGGATACAATCTAATGATGGATTAAAAAATACCTTTATATTGAAAACTACAGTACTCTGAAAAGGAGGTTGAAGAGAACATTAGAAAATAGATATCTCATACTCTTGGGTAGGAACAATCAATAGAGTAAAAATGGCCATATTTCCAAAAATGTTATACAGATTCTATACAATCCTAATCCAAGTTCCCATAGCATTTTCACAGAATTAATAAAAACAATCCTAAAATTCAACTGAAGCCAGAAGAGACTTCAATAACAAAGGTAATCCTGGGCAACAAAGACAAGCCAGGGGCATCGCAGTCCCTGACTTAAAACTATACTATAAAAATAGCACAGTACTGGCAAAATAAAGAAAAAAACAGAGCCAAAGATCAGTAAAACAGGGGCCTGGGGATTTAGCTGAGCGCCATAAGCGCCTGCCTTGCAAGCAGGCAGTCATGAGTTTAATCCCTGTTACCGATAAAAAGGAAAAAGACAAAAAAAAAAAAAAAAAAAGATCAGTGAAACAGATAAGATGGAAAAACAATGCTAGACACACTAAACCACCTTATCTTTGACAAAGGTGCCAAACACATTCCCTGGAAGAAGGATAGCCTCTTTAATAAGTGGTGCTGGAAAAACTGGCTCAACATGTGCCAAAGATTAAAACTGGACCCATAGTTTTCACGCATGTACTAATGGTTCAAAGATCTAAATATTAAACAGAAACATTAAATCTGCTGGAGGATGCAGAAGGTAAAAGTCTGGAGGATCTGGGGTAGGCAAAGACTTTCTGAACAAAACCCCAGCTGCACATGAACCCTCACAAAGATTCAACAACTCCGATCTCATCTTATTGAAAAGCATTTTCACAGCAAGAGAAACCACCAACAGAGTGAAGAGACATCACACAACCTGGGAGAAAATGTTTGCCGCTGGTACTGCAGACAAAGGGTTACTGTAGAAACATATAGAGAACTCAAAACAATCAGCCCTCCCAGATTTAAAAACTCAACACAAAAATGTGTACCTGAGATGAAAACACATTTCTGAGATGAAGAAATACAAACAGCAAAAAATATATGAAAAAATGTTCAATAGTACTGGTTATTAAACAGATGCAAAATTAAAACAATACTGAGATTCTACCTCACCCCAGAAAGAATGCCTAGGTTTGAGAAATCAACCAGTAACAAATGCTGAAGGGATTTGGGGAAAAAGGAGCCCTTCTCCACTGTTTATGGGAGTGTAGACTGCGGCAACCACTGTGGAAATCAACGTGGAGATTCCTCAAAAAACTAAGATTGGAGGTTCCATTTGACCCAGCTATTCTTCTTCTGAGTATCTTCCCAAGAGAATTAAAAACATCATACCGTACTGATATATGTGTACCAATGTTTATAGCAGATCAATTTGTAACAGCTAGAACTTGGAAACAACCTAAATGCCCATCGACTGAGTAATAGATTTTAAAAAGTGGTACTTTTATACAACAGAGTATTAGTCATAGAGAAGTAAAAATGAGATTTTTATAGGTAAATGGTTGCCAATTGTGTCCGTAACAGAAATGCTTGTGTAGACATTGTATTCTCTCAATAGCGTGAGAAGCTAAAAGAAACTACATATAAGTATACACTTAAGATATTTATACAACTTTTTTCTCCAAGTTCATTGATGAGAAAAGTTTGCATTGGTATTGTTCACACAACTGAATGCAGATGTCTTGTGCTCTGGGTGACTGATTGGGGGTCTGTAACGTGCAATGTATGTGCGATTATTGCTCCCTATTGTTGTATTTTGAAATTTTGTTTCATTTTGTTTCTCTTTGAAGTAAAATAGATTTTCAAAAACAAATTAAAGCAAGTTGGAATTATAAACTGTATGTCTTAGAAAAGAACAGAGCTGTATCAACCTTTGTCCCCATGTGGTGGTGATGAGCAGAAGCCTCTGTGTCCTACCCCAAAGAAGAAAGAGGAGCTTCAGAGAATCATTAGATCACTGTCACTTGGGGCTGGGATCACAGGTGGTTGGGGCCCCACCATCTCCTGAGTCAAAAGTTCAGTCTGTTTCAGCAGGGTAGAATCTGTGACATAAATGTCTGTCTAATACCCAGAAAGTCGTGCCCAAGAGAAAACTCACTAGGGTGAAGAATTCCAAGCAGAGAGCTTATCATATTGGCAGCAGCAGGTCAAAGGAGGTGAGTTGGGCAGCCTCTGAAGAATCCAAAAAGACTCAGCTGTCAGTACTTACCCCACCTGCAGAGGGCGCAGACTTCTTGCAACAGTAGCAGTTACCAGAGCTGCCCCCTCCCCTTTATTTCTTATTCCATTGGACAGGCTCTTGGAGGCCCACAGCACACTACCTGTGCTCAGGCCCAGCTGGAGAAGAAGAGTGGAGTCT